ACAAGAATTACACAGGTCCTCCATCTTCTCGATGCGCTTTCTGGAACAACCTGGGAGGCAATGTGACTCTCCCCCACCCAAACCATGTCTGAGTGCTGATTTCAACCACAGGAACACCGGGGCAGGAGTCCTTTGGGGTGTCTAATCTCTAGCAGGACTGTCTCATCCTCCCGGAGGCTTTGCTCCAAAACCTGGAACTCTCATTCCAATTCCCCACACACTGCTTCTCCAGGAGGTGGCAGAGAAGGTAGAGAGGCTAATGAACTAAGAGCCAGAGGCCCTCAGCCAACCTCATCCTCATCTGTGGTGAAGGGGCATTGGAAAAGGAGAGGGCTAGGAGGACCCCACCTCTGGTGAAAGGTTCTGGTCGGCTTCAACAGTCTTCCGTGTTCTTGGAGACTTTGTTTCCTTGCTCTGCTTCCCGCACTCCACTCTCGCAGCTCCGAGAATCTTCACGCTTCCTGGATGCACTTTCAACCTTCACGCTGGGTCCTGTCTCGAAGATGTGAGCTCACGCCACAGCGGAAGGTGTGAGTGTGTGGACCAGAGGCTTGGCCTCCAGTTAAGGAGCTGGGTTGCCGTTATTTGCATGTCCCCGCCCCTCGCTTGCTTGATCTCCTCTGGACAGGACCCTGCCACCTAGTCGGGACACCTCCCCTTCTTGCTGCCCACGCTCCTATAAAAAGGGGGGGTCTGTGTTTCTTTACCAGGCTGCGCGAAGCAGCCAAGCTAGGAACAGAGCGTCAGGATCCCGCCTCTGCGCTTTTTAGGAGAGCCGCGGGGCTCAGACTTTCGTTTACTCATAAGAGCGGTTCTTGAACTTCTTTCAGGATGACTGCGTGGGACGGGGTGATGCCCTTTTATCCCCAGTCCAGGCACGCGGCGGGCTTCAGTGTCCCGCTGCTCATTGTCATTGTGGTATTCTTGTGCTTAGCGGCCAGCTTCCTGTTCATCTTGCCTGGGATCCGTGGCCACTCGGTAAGGGGGTACTAAAAGCTCTCCTTGGAGAGGTTCTAGAAGCTCATGCCGTGGGGTGGGAGAGCGATACGGAGAGCATTTCTCGGAGACTCAGGACAGACAAGACGAAGGAAGATGCTTCATGAATAGTTAAGCTGAGGATCAACAACAGCAAATTTAGAAGTCTGGCGCATAATCGACTCCTCACCGGGAGAGGGATAACCCCGGGTGCAGGACTTACCGGGAAGAGATTCCAACTGCCTTATTTTGGAAGCTACTGCAGAAAAGTGGGAACCAGCCCAGTAGTCCGGGCTTCGGGTGTTGCCAGGGCCTCCCACCTCTCTCTGAACACCTCAGCACCCCTGCCCTGTCCTCTGAACAACAAGCTGGCCAAGAGGATGGGCACGGGCAGTTTAGACGGTTGCCTTTTCCTTGTTGTGCTCGGTTGAAGAGGGTTCCACAGAGGGTTCAAACTTGTAGCAACCCTGGGCGGTTCCCTTAAATGCTCCCAGCCCCCATATCCTGAACTGTATATTTTTTTTCAAGTCTGAGAAAACCTTCAATTTTTTCTGCATTGTTTTGTTGTTGTTGTTGGTTTTGGAGGTAACTGGCACATCTAGAAATATCCACAGTTCCTCTCATTGACAACCAGGTCCTAGGGCCTCCCTCTTCTGGGAGAGGTGACCCCACCTGCCTGGCACTTCTGAACTCACTGAGCCTCACCAAGCAGTGGTTGAACTAGAGGTTGCGACCAGGCGCCAGACAGCTGGGGGTAAAAGGTGGTCAGAGAGTGCCAAGAAATGTGGACCTGAAAATAGGGCGGGGAAATGGTCAATGTAAGCACAGGACCAGAAAATAGCACAAATGCTAGGGGTTAGAGGAACTTGAAAGAAAAGCACGCGTGACATCAGCCTCAAAAAGTCAGAAATGCAACTGAGATGGAGTGGTCAAGGGAGGTCTTGAGGGTGGGGTAGGCAGTACTCAATCCTGACCTGAGGGTCTGTCTTTTCCCACAGCGCTGGTTCTGGCTGGTGAGAGTTTTTCTTAGTCTCTTCATCGGTGCAGAAATTGTGGGTGAGTGGAACTTGTGGGGACAGGAGTTGGCGTAGGGAGGGAGCGGCAGATGGCACTGAGAAATGCCGAACTAACTTGGTTTCACCATTCCTCTTCCACTTTGCGCCTATTTCTGGCACCTCCTAGCTGTTCTTTTGCTGTTGTTTTGTTTTGTTTTGTTTTGTGAGACTGTCTCTCAGTCTAGGCTGACCTTG